GAGTACTGATATTAGGTCTTTACCTATGAAATTGTCTTTCTTCAGTACTGGTCATTTCAAATAAAAAAACGTTTGTAATGGCTCTGTGTTCTAAATTCAAATTAATTTTGTTTTAAAACCATGACATTCTATTTACAAACTCAGTCTTTTGTTTTTTGATTAGCGTTGTATTTTCATTACATTTGAACATTTTTCGTCATAATGGATACTTTAAAAATTCGTGTAATTATGGAATATGAGTTCCATCGTGGCACCAACGCGACACAAACGGCACGTAACATCAAAAACGTTTACGGAGAGAACTGTACAAACGAACACACAACCCGTTATTGGTTTTCTCGGTTCGGTTCTGGAAATTTTGACTTGAAAAATGAAGCTCGTGGTCGTCCGGAGACTTTGGTTAACAATAATGAATGAACGGCGATTGTGGAAGCTGACGAAACTCAATCTACAGCTGAGCTAGCAGCAGCTTTTAATGTAAGCATCAAAACAATATTGATCCATTTGCGACAAATTGGCAAGGTAAAAAAGCTTGATAGATGGGTGCCCCACGACCTTAACGATCGCCAGCGCAACGTACGCGTCGAGACCTGCCTTACGCTGCTCAACAGGCAAAGAAATGAAGGAATTTTGAAACGAATTGTTACGTGCGACGAAAAATGGATTCTGTTCGACAATCGAAAGCGCTCAGCAAGTTGGTTAGACCCTGGTTCAGCACCAAAGCAATGCCCTAAACCAAAAATGACCCCTAAAAAGGTGATGGTCACTGTTTGGTGGTCTAGTGCGGGTGTGATTCATCACAGCTTTTTACAAAACGGCATGAGCATTAATGCAGATGTGTACTGTGAAGAACTGGAGAGAATGATGGAGAAGCTTGCACATCTGCAACCAGCTTTGGTCAATCGGTCGTCCCCACTGCTCCTTCACGACAACGCGTGACCCCATACTGCGCAACAGACAGTCCCCAAGCTGCAAGAGCTGGGGTTCGAAGCTCTCCCTCATCCGCCATACTCACCAGACCTTGCACCTACCGACTATTACTTTTTCCAAAATTTAGACAACTTTTTAGTGGGTAAAAAATTCAATTCCCGAGAGGCAGTACAAAATGCCTTTGAAGAGTTTGTTGCCTCCCGTCCAGCTGATTTTTACAAGAAGGGCATCAATAAACTGCCAATGCGTTGGCAAAGATGCGTCGATTGCATGGGTGATTACTTCGATTAACAGAAATAAAAAAGTTTAAAAAAATAAGTACTTTCACTTCATCATCATCATCATCAGCCTATCGCAGTCCACTGCTAGACATAGGCATCTCCCATTGCACGCCACTTAGATCGATTTTGGGCTTCTCGCATCCAGCTCCTGCCAGCCATCTACTTTCACTTATTGCATACAAAACGGCAATTTCAAAGGTAAAGACCTATTATACACATTTAGGGCCTTTTCCTATGCTATGGCAGACACTTATTGCGGTTCTAATTAATTATCTAATTAAGCGCGTCATCTTTAACTCGAGTCGAATGCTTCTCCTTACAGTCTAGGTACCGGCGGCGGTGGACAGACGTAGAATGTTAATAAAATATAAAATAAATGAATATGTACGCTTCTAATAGGCAACAGGGAATAAAAAGATATCTAAGTTTATCTCATCAAGTCGAGGTTATCTACCAGTTAACTAAACGTGAGGATAAATGTAATTTGATTATATTATTCGTCGGATAAAGGCCTAGGCTTCGTAAGCCTATTTTCTGGCTATGATAATTTCTTTTGAGTATGATTTGATCGAAAAATAACTTTACTTTGAAACATTGGTGTTTATACAATTATTTAACGAATGGGCATTAATTAATGCAATCAAAAGGTTTGGCCTTTGTACTTGTCCGTCGATTCGACGAGCTTGGACTGACCGTGGTAACAAGCGAATTTAACGCCTTGCTCGCATTAATTATGATTTTCTTAGTAATAATTGTATAAGTTGACTCTAACAGCTTAATTTACAGTATCATTATGAGTTAACCTTTTGTTTAGACTCAGAGTATAAATTAAAAATATTATAGTAGGTTGACCGCGTGAAGCGGTGTCTCTAGGCACCGTGGTAAGGAACGCCAAAAGGCCTAATGCGCAAAACAATTAACAGCGGAATATAAAACTGTTATGGCGCTTTTTGTGAGGCTTGGGGTGCGCGACTGGCCTTTAATTAGTCCTTACCGCACTTATTTAGGTGGGTGATAGATTTTATTATTTAGTGCCTGATGCAATTTCTTAATGTTAAAGGAGCAGGAGTATTATAATTAGATTGATTTTATTTATTTCCAATACGTGTTAATACATGTAATGAGGTTGTTAGAAATTCGGCGATATCTAACAGTTAAATTTTTTATGATAAGTAATATAAGAAGTGGTCGCTGAAAATCAATCTCGCTCTACCGTAATCAAAAACTAGGAGCGGACCTCAGTCGACATCTTTAAATTTTTCACTAGTATTGGATGTGTACGCAATACATTTGGCATAGTTGGGAGTCCGCGACATAGCGGAGAAGCTACTAGAGAGAAGGATGAGTTGGTATGGACATGTCAGAAGGAGACTACCTGAGTACGTCGGAACCAGGCACTAGAACTATCCGTTCCCGGAGCACGCTCTAATGGAAGACCCAAGACCACATGGACAGATGTGTTGTGGAGAAACATGTAGGCATGCAATGTTACGGAAGACGACGTCAGGGACATGGCGAAGTGGAAGAAGTACCTACACGAAGAGGGCTAACCCCACCACCATGTGGGACGCATAGTCGGGAAGAGAGCGATTCTTAGAACCCCTGATTGGGGGTTCAAGTGTAATATTGAGTGTCCATTTACCCCCTAGGTGCGGGGGGTTCAAAGAACCATCTCTTATTATATTTGAATTAAGCAACTTAATATACAAGTTCGTAACTTCCTCTAAAGCATTCAGCCAAAAAATAAACTCAATGACCTTAAAATCTTCTACATGAAACAACTTGTCAATAAAGTAGTTTTAAAATATATAAAAAAAATCACAATAGCCTTAACCAAATTTCAGACAGCCACGAGTATTTCTTAGCATTTTTTCATACTTATCGTAGTTTGTATGCAATTCTTCTGCATGTTCTGTAGTATATTTGTTTAGAATATTTTACCACTTACTTTCACTAACTAAGTATAGTCCTTACGTTTCGATCGAACTGCACCGCCTGTGGTCCACACGTGTCTAAAATAGATATTCTGCTTTGTAATTATGTTCCGATTTACATCTAATATTTTCTTATAGTAGCAAAAGAAAATCCATCATATTTGCAACCTCACGCTTTTACTGCTTAATGATACCAATGATATAGCTAATTTATCATATGCAAGGTTAACATGGATTGTAATGTTAACATTATAAAACTGGTTCTACATTGTACAACATGTAGGTACAATGTACATACAATTGAAATTTGCTGTCTTTTAATTATAAGCGTTTTCTATTGCTCTATATAATATGGATCTACATTAAGGTTTTCAGAAATTCGGTAAAAATACTTTTTGTATAATACACTAAGTGTTGATTATACGTTAAAGTTACTTATTGCACATAGTAATAACTTTTATGAAATCCGCTTCAGGATAATTAGGTTCACTGCAGCCATCTAGAGCGAGGTCGAGATTTACACTTTGACATTCACCGTTCGTTATTTATTATTCATGTTACGTTTTCCGTTTCATTGACTTCGTTGTAAAATGAAGTGCAAATAACAATAAGTTTACCTGGGTACCGGTTACCAAAGGGAACCTGTGGGTAAATACAGATGTGCGACGTGTTCCATGCCTACCTCTCTGAATTGGAGGGAAAAGGAATGCGGAAGATGTTCGGCAATGACAGTGGGATCGTCTTACTCAATAGGCGGCTAAGTCTGCCAGGGTTCACAAGGATCTTCTATCTAAGACGAAACATTTTGTGGTGATAGTCGGTTCATGTAAACATGTTCGACATAATACACTACCGATTGGATCCGATTAAGTAGTTTTAACACAAAAGAAAGTAAAGTATTTATGTTACAAAATATAATTCTAATTTTAACGTGCAAAACTCTTCATCTCATTTCGGACATCTTAGCCATTTGAATCTAAAGTCAAGTAGTATGCTACGAACTAATCAATGTCAGAAAACACAACATTAACATTAGGTGTTCTGAATAGTACTTTCTACAAAGGCATCGGTAATGGGAATCGCGAGAAGGCCGCGCTAAACTAAAACCAACAATGATGCTATGACATGACCTCGACACGACCTCTGATCATAGAGGATACTCAAAGTCTCTAACATTACTACTTTTGTGTTTGGAATAATGGCACAGGTCGTATTGTTCGTATAAAAAAAACATTCTTAATACTTTCTCCTCCACAGAATGCAAATATCTAGTAGGTACGGTTTGTACTTTTGTAGCACGTTACTAATAAATTACAAAAGAGTGTCCCGGCAATCGTTTCTTTTATTTCAAGGCATAAGAATACGAAGAACGGCAAAAAAAAATATAACTTCTGGACCTGGACTGATAAATAGTAAATTGTAGTAGTATTACATGTCTTCTGAGATATTGAAAGATGAGAAGAAATAGAGCTCAGTGTATATTTACAACTCACAGTAAGATTATACAGATCGGGTTATGGAGACTTAGCCTTAATGCCTAGTATTTTGAATAGCGGTGGCTACCTCCGTAATACTTATAGATTACTTTTAGATACAGAAGTTTAAAAAAATGTTATATAATCATAACAGGGATATAATAATCAAGCCTATTCTCAAAGTATATTTATACTTAACATGGTGTTCGTTAATGCTAAAATTTATTGATTGGTTGCTGATACTGTATTCGAATGAATGGTCTCTATTAATTAGTATGCAGCTTATTAAGTTCGCCTCAAGAAACTTGTTTCTATCTCTACTGCAAGTATAAAAAAATGCGTGTAAATTAATGAGGCCAGGCAATAATGTAGCAGTTTACCTCAAAAGAGTCAGGTTGTTCACTGGCCGCTATACCGGCGAAGAGATGGCTGAGAGCTCGGGACATAAGGCCGGTCATAGTGTATGTTTTTCCAGCACCAGTTGCTCCGTATGCAAACACAGCACCCGCAAACCCTTTCAAGGTATCACCAACCAGAGGGGCACACACTGCATCGTAGACTTCTTCCTGACATGTAAAAATTTTTTTACGCTTAATTATGTACGTAAACTAAAATGGTTGGAGTCATGTGGCCAGGGCCTCAATTCTGCTATTTTATGTAAACGCCAAGCCACTGTCATTCCATTGACACGCTATTGAGATGCCATTGAGATGCCACTGACATCGGTCAAAATATCGGTATTCTACCAACATAAATTCAAAGTGTCAATAGACTGTCGATATAGTAATACAGGTCATCAATGGTTATATCAACAACATTGCCATATCATGAAAATTAAATATATCATTTTCTTACAAATTTAAAATATACAACAAACTATTACAAAGACATCGACGACATTTTTATCAGTGACAAGTCATTGGGAGATCATTGGTCGTACATAGTTAGTAGAATAAGAAAAGTGCAAAACTGTTCCGTCGACATTCCATCGACAGTCTATTGATACAATAATAAACGTGGCCTAAATCTGTTACGTGATCATGTGAACTTCCGTATATATGTAACATACATAATTTTAACATATAAGTATATCATAAAACACGAAAGTATAAAAGTTAACTATATTTTCTACACTATTTGCGTTGATGTTCATCTATTTCTTTATTTTTATGTGTTATTATTTTAATTAGTACTCATATTAGTAGATTATAGTGTACTTAGTTAAATATTATATAGGTATTTCCCTTATTATTTATTTATACAAATGTGCACCACAACTGATGAAGGAAATGTCATTTTTTTTAAATAGCGGGTTGTACAATTACACCTAACTCACCTACAATATTATAAATAATAGTAATAAAACCAAACAAGACTATACTAAACGGAGGGGGAGGGGGGTTGAGAAACTAATCCATTTATCAAGGTATATAACTATGTAGACCATTGCCAAATAATCGCATAGAAAAGAAGCACAGCCATACATATATTATTATATTTTGCTGCTGGTGCTTCCAATAATTGTCATATCATCATAGACACAGCAGTGTGGGATGATTATGGAGTCTCCTTGATATTTTGTAGTCAATAAAATTATGCAATACATAGATATTACCGATGTGTACGTAAGTAGATACCAGGGTACTTGACCGTGGACGTCAAAGACGAAAAAATCACATTTATCTACTATGTCTTAAATTCATACCTTGTTTGTTACCTAACGATTGCAATGATAAAAATAACTTATCTTATCGACTTTAGTGACGCTCACGATACAGTTTATGTATATTGCAAACAAAACAAGACAGTCTTAAAAAAATAAAACAGTTTGTTAATTCAGCAATCTGTTACATGTTAATATAGCATTAGGTACCTACTTTTTATCTTCGATGTAGTTTTTTTACGCTTGTAGGAAGTAGTTAGGTTTTTGACAGAAGCAAAAAATAAGTGTACTAGAATCCATCATTTTTATCTTGATAAACGGAAACGTGAGTGAACATAGGTAGGTATATAAAGTTATAAACAAAAATCTTTTGACACATTGAAACATAAAAACTAATCTTATGTTATTTGTTTGCTATCAGTGAATATTATAACGTTCACAGTTTCCAATATATATTGTTATTTTTTAAAAGAACAATACATCTAGTAAAATGTCTATGTATCACGGAACATAAAAGTTGTGTAATTTTGTACGTACTTGTGTGCTATTTTCGCCAAACACTTTGTCGTATACGTAATGTTTGTCGTTTAACCTCCGCTGACGTAGCACGTCTCGTCGACTGTCCGCCTCTTCCTCTAACACCAACATCTGATAACACACGGTTTACATTATCATCTTATTACACCCTTGCCCTTAAAACGCTGTTTCTCACCGATGGAATTATTACACGGTTTAAATGTGATCTCAGTAACAAATTACTTAAAGAAATTCACTCCAGTTATCTATCCAATTAAATTATTGAGAGATCGATTAATGTCGCAATAGAACAGTCATTTATCATGTTTTATTGTGTCAATTCACTACAGGCAACATGTAGATAAGAAACTGCCTTAGTACTTGAGGCAGAGTTAATCACCGACGTACATTGAAATAAAAGTAATTTATGAAAGATAAATATATATAGAACAGCGTAAAAAACTCTGATACAGAACGTCAGAGCGAGAAAACCGATGGGCTTGTTGGAGATCCTCGTGAGATGTTTAAGGATACAAATAATTGGCGGACTGATGTCTCTGCTTATCACAAAGGGATAAGATAGGAAGGTACATATGTATGTATGTTTTGTCACTAAGAAGTTTACCTCATGTAAAGAACATGTTAGACAAGAACACCTTAGATCGACCTGATGATGATGAAAAATCGATCGGTATGCAAAGTTTACTCGTAGTAACATAAAAGAGTAATAAAAAAAACTCTCAATCGCTTTTATTATATTATTAGTTGGGATTTATGTAATGTATAATTGTGTTATGTAACCTTATCGCTGACCACGTGCACAATGCGGGGACCTTCATCTGCTCGATGTGGTCGCACGCGCACCGCTACCTGTTAAGAACATATTCAATGTACTGAATCTACATTTTTAGAGCGGCCATTTGTAATTAATCTAATTATATATTGTCATAAACATGGTCGCTAGACTCGCCAGAAATTTCAGGTCAAGATAGAATGCTTGAAAATTACCAAGAACCTAATTGACAGGCTCCATTGCTTGATGCCGACCGTTCGCCGTTCCTCCCTTTCGATAAATCGCCTCTGATTCATGATACTGCTGTTGTTCTCTGGGCCTAACACCTGCCATATAACCTTAGGTAAAACTGCCTGTTTTATCCATCTGATCCTACTTCCGTCAACAAATTTTTGTGGAGCTGAGTTTCGTAGTTAGATATGAATACACCGATTTACACGTGAATTAGACATTTTATTTCAATTAATTTAATATGCCTCTGACTACTCCTTTGGGAGTATAGGTGTGGGTCGTGTGGGTGAATGTATTCGTGGATGGATGGATGGAAGTGAGGTCACACTGATATTCACTTGTACTGTTCGCTATTCTCTGTTGTTTATACTTGCTAACTCGCTGTATCGCAGAATGATCGAATCATGGTACGTATACATACAAGGACGAGCTTCTTTCATAGGAAGTTCCAGGAGGTTCGTATCCCTAAAAATCTTTAAGTAACCCGTTTGGCTGGACACCCCTCTGGAAACCTCTAAGACATTGTGAAATATTCTAGTACATTCGATGGGTTCCAAATATCTTAACTTGGGGCAACATTAACAGTATGGTCCATCGATTTGGAATCAGCATATTCTATCTTAAGGTACGATCCTCAGCTTGAGATAGTATTTATTGTATGGTAACGACTGGATTGATCACAACAAACAGGATTTTTTGTAAGATTATTGTGCTATCGATTACGATAAAAAGCAATAAAGGTGTTATCGGACGATTGATTGCCGATAATCCCTGATAAGAGCCTCTGAATAATATGCAAAACGCAGGTTTCATCGTAAACAGGCAAAATTTTACTGTATCATCCAATGTATCATATTTTTATAATGCTAGATGATAAAGCAAGTAATTTGGCATACATTTTACGGGGGCAATCTAATATATCAAAATATCGATGATATATATGAAGTAGATGCGACTATATGCAGTGGCGTATTAACCCTAAGGCAAAGTAGGCACATGCCTAGGAGCGCAAAAAAAAATTATGCCTTACAAAAAAAAACTCTGTCAGTAAGTATGCACATACTTACACAAAATAAACAATTCCTTAATTCTGTAGAGATGCTTAATCCTGACTGACTGACGCAGGTCTTTTCTGGGCGTGTCCGCTTAGGAAGGTAACAGCAGTCAATCGCTAGGAGTGAATTAAGTTGCGCCTGTTACCTCTGCAGTGCAGTTTGAACTCGGCTCAGCACCAACGGTCAAGCACGCGTAGAGTCGGGTGTTCATTGCAGTCATCGGAGAGGATTTCTCTCTACTAGCCGTTACACACGACATGGCTGGTGCGCCTACCAGACCCTCATGCCGCCCTGAGTGTGGTCTCAGGTGGCCGGGTTTTCCCCTCCCATCACCACGAAACGAACGAACGAACGAAACGCGAGGAGGTGACGTCCTCGTGTGGCGAATGTCTTCTAAATGAAAGTTTAGATCCCCATAGTGGTGACCGCTCTTTTAAAGGGCAGGCGCTAGGAGGGGTCAGGAGCCATCCTCTACCAAGTAGGACCAGTCTCGGTCAGCGTGAAATGTCCCGCGGTGTTTCGCAGGGGTCGGTATTAGTGCCACTCCTGTGGAATATCGGCAACGACTGGGGGCTCGGCGGTACCTTATTGGATAGAGTCGTGGTCATGTGCTACACGGACGACACGGCTTGCGGTAAGGCGCACCGGGAGGATCCAGGACTCAAGGTGTCTCTGAACAAATGAAGGGAGGGAAAGACTTGAGCATCCAACCTCCAGGAACGCTATTATAGCGGTGGTAAGACCCGTTATGCAGGATTGACTCGAGAGGAAACACGGGACCCTCTCGTACCGCCTGACGCAGATCACTTGTGGCTGATCCGAGAGGAAGCAATGCTTAGGTGCCACCATTGTGATGGCCAGAGCGTAGACACGGCGCCCCACTCGCTGCTAGAAGGGCCGGAGTGGCGTGGGTGGAGCAGAGGCATGGTCTCGCGGCGTCTATCGGATTGAGGATTCTCTAGCTCGGTACCATTATAGTGACATTGGTACGAAGCAATGACGCGTGGAACGTCACCACCTCCTTCTGCGAGCAAGCTATACTCGAGAAGAAGATGGTGGAGCTGGAACTAAAGAAGGTTAGAACTCGCCCGATCCACCAGGTCCAGGAAAGGGCAGGTCGGGCGGTTCAGGCGGCGATGGTCGCTGAATTACTTTCATCCTGCATAAGTGTAGTGGGGGTGACAGGTAAGGCCATCTGTCACCAAAAAAAAAGAAAGGCCGGGAGGTCCTTATAAAAGCTGTTATCGGATCTCTCCTATTTCAGACGCAGTGTGTGGTTTAAGTCGGTTCGATTCTGATATACCGCCCCATCGCAAACCCCGGTGGGGTGACAGCCTATTTACCCACGTAGGGAGGGGTTGCCGATGAAATGCGTGCATAGGGCGCTCTCGATACTAAATCCGCCTCTATTTGCCATTTATCTTAATGAGAGAGCTTACTAGGAACGTCCGCTTCAATCTGATAGTTTAAAAAAATATTAAATAAATTGCTTTGAACTATTTCTTTATGATTTTTTTACGAATATTTACTTATAACACGTGTAAAACATTAATATTGAGTAAAAAATATTGTAATTAATCTTAACACTAAGAAATTATTTCATTTTAAACTTTGATAATACCATAGCAACGTATTAATCTGTACCTACACGTAATTATTGAATGAGACTTTATCCATAATTCTTATTATGTAGAGCTTATAAATTATGAGTAATTTTACAAACATTGAATTGTAAAATAAAATAAACTTGTTCTATGATTTGTATACATAATAAATATCCAAGAAGAAACATAAACGATCTTCGGATTTAACATAAAGAACAATGGCAGAAACATATTTATCTAAAACTGAAGCGTTTAAAAAATTGACTAACAGTAACTAACTAATATTTTTTCTATGATTTATCATTATACCGCCATGTGTTGTATAAGTCTAATAAGAGATTGGATATTTTTAAAGATTTTATTTGACCTAAGTACGTAATGTCAGAATCGCCATCACGAACTGACTAGGGATGCGTGATGACATTATTATATTATGGAACGTTTTATCGATAAGCGATTGTTATAACTTTGGCTTAAATATCTATCGAAGGTTCACCTATTATGATTATGAATTTGCTTCTGCCCACGGGTTTACTCATACGCTACCGTAACTATAGTAGAATTATTTTCTCCGTGCAGTTTGGGTAATAAATAGTTGGAGCGGTGAAGCGAGTATTTCGTTCTCTCTTCCACTCACGAGCCTTATGGGCGGGCATAGTGATGCGCATTATTGTTGTCGATAAGCGTTATCGATAGTGTATTTAGTTTTGTCATTTTGTGGGTTAGTGACAAAAATTAAAGAAAAAAATAGATAAAACAACGTATTTATTAAAATAAGAATAATAATAATATAAAAATGAACTTTTTACACACACACCCTTTGTACACTCTTTTTTAATTTTGTCGACCGTTCTAACACTCGCACCACATATCGCCGCAGCAAGTTCACGAGAACGGCAGAAATTAACACTTTGTAACTTTTGGGGATCTATTTTCATTTCAGTGAAAAATTTTAAAACATTGTTGATAACAACACGTGCTTGTGCTGGTATATTGGTGCCAACAGGCAAAATATTATTTTTAATAAATTCTGCCGTTTTGGTACAAAACAAAGGAGTAGCCATTGTGTCACTAAAGAAATTCAGAGAGCGAATGCACAAAAACACATTTCTCTTCGACATATGTACTATAATTTGCAGTGGGAAACAACAAATGACTCATAACATAACAATGTCTCACCACCTTTGTATACCGCCCCGCCGCCGTGTACCTGCCTTTGATGACTCATTTGTTCTTATCGATAATGGCGTTGCGCCCGCGCAACATGCTCACCGCCCTAGCCGGGCCGGGGCCGAGCTATGGTTTATGACCCAAACTGCACGGAGAAAATAATTCTACTATAGTACTGTAGTGACTAAATCAACCTAATTAGAAATAATTTAGAATATTTTTGACTCTTTTTAAAAGATTTTTGCTACACCAATATAAATAGAATATAGTTAAGTTATTTTCCTACAGAAAAATACTAAAACAATATACTGCTTAGTGTGATGAGAAAAGGACATGTAAATAGACATGCATCGATATTTTTAAAATGTCGATACGTCGTCGTCGCACTTACTATAACCCGGCAATCTCGTGCGCGACCGTCCCGCGGGGTGACAGACAGTGGCGGGGGCGAGGTAGCGCGTCATTCTAGCACACGATTCCCTTCCCCGCTACACCACCTGCTACCCGCTGACATTGTGAGTACCTCGTCCCCGCCACCGTCTGTCACCCCTCAGGACGGTCGCACACGACGTTGATGGACCATAGTCTTGTCGTTTGACACTTACACGCATGACTTACATACCATTTCTCACAAGGCAATTGTAGTTTATTTGGTTGTTTTACTTTTGTTTAGTATTAAACTCTCATATATGTTTATTTTGATTTTATATAGTGTTACTCCATTATGCATGATGTGATGCCTTAAAATGTTGTGCATTAATCCCAATATAATGGATGCATGCTTTAGATTTTAGTAAATAATGTCACAACTACTGACTGTTGAATAACTAAATAATTAAATAAATGCTCCCGCCTTGTGTAAATGTGTATTGAAGTACATTTATTCAAATGATTATTAATAATTTATATATTTATGGCTAGTATTACACCTGCTATGTAAGCGAAGATTTTTTTTCTATTGTTTACCAATACATGCCAAGCAAATACCCTTCCTTCCTTCACCCATTTAGAGAGTCGGCTAACACTTTCTACAGCAAAATAGGGTTGCTTATAAGTAATAATAATGATGAATAATATTTTCGAATATATGTCACACAACGCCATCTAGTTTCAAACAAAACATTTACAATATTTTAGTACTTAACCTCGAAACATTCAAAATCCAATATCTTTTTTCCTAGACTTCTTTCGCTAGTAATTTTTTTATGAGAATGTTCAAGAATAAATTCTCAAGGG